CAACCTATAGGCTGTACAATTCATTTAAAGGCCCAGTTAGGATGGAAAAGTGCTTAACCTATTTGTAACTTTTGATATCTGTATCATGCTTACAGAACTAGAAAAGCCTGGTAGCCATATGGGTAATTTTACTTATCTTTTTCTCTTTAATGTGCTCCAAAAATTACAAGAATTTGGCTACCTAGAGGCAGAGTTCAGAAAGCATATCAACATCCTCAAAAATAAAGTTCAATGAATTGGAGACCTTATTCAAAAGTTCTGTATCTTATCTACTTAATAAAATACATCAGTAGAGACATTCTGAGTAACTTCCTGTTAGGTTTAGGGAGTTTAGACCATTGGGGAACAGATTATAATCTAATAAGCACAATATTGCAGTTAACTCCATTCTTGGTTTAATTAACAATTTAGCATGTAGTTATTCATTTAGTTGATCGGTTTGCATTTATCAAACACTTAATATATATAAGACCCTGAACTATAGGCAAAGGGATGATAAAGATAAGTAAGACACTGTTTTGTGCTCAAAGGACTCAGATGGAGACAAATGGGGGGAGGGGAAAGGCAATTACACCATATTTTATAAGTGCTATGATAAATATATCTTCAGAAGCATAGAAGATGGTCCTTAATCCCGCTAAACATTTCCTAAAAGAAGTGAAAGCAAAGCAAGAATTAGAGGATGCATAACAACTTGCCATATGAAAGCAGTGAGTGGGAATAGAGATTAAGCAGCTTAGTAATAAGGCATTTCAGGAACTGAAAAGAGCAGAAGCAATGGCAGAGAGTCATGACACAATCTTGTGTTCAAGGGACAAAAGCTGTTTGGAGTAACTGGAGAATTAGATGTGATGCATGAGTGGTAAGAGATGAGAATTGAGCACCGGACAGGAGCCTACTGGTGGAATATTGTTCATGTTCTAAATAGCTTTTAAACTGTGGGCAGTGGGAGGCGCCTGGGTGGCTCAGTCGGTTAAGTGGCCGACTTCGGCTCAGGTCATGATCTCGTGGTCCGTGAGTTTGAGCCCTGCGTCAGGCTCTGTGCTGACAGCTGAGAGCCTGGAGCCTGTTTCAGATTCTGTGTCTCCCTCTTTCTGACCCTCCCCCGTTCATGCTCTGTCTCTCTCTGTCTCAAAAATAAATAAACGTTAAAAAAAATTTTTTTAAACTGTGGGCAGTGGGGAGCCAAAGGAAATATTTAAAGAATGGAAATTATGTGGTTAGCTCTCCCTGATAGCAAAAACCTAGCTATAAAGTATGTGGGGCATATATTTGCAGGGGACAAAACTGAAATATAAAGATCCTGAGAAATGAGTTAGGCCTAATCTTGAGAGCAGTGTAGACTTCTCTGTGTAGGTGAGACAAGATTTCCACTTCTAGAAATATTTAGAAGGTAAAATTCACAGGACTTGATTATGGTTGGATATAAGGGATAGAAGGAAGAAGAAATCAAAACTATTTTCAAAGTTTCTAACCTGATTGTCTGAGTAGTTAGTAATGCATCAGCTTGAATAGAGAATATGAGAGGCTACAAAGCTTTAAAGTATAAAATAAATTCAATTTTTTGGCATGTTGGAATTCACGGTACTTCTGCTATATCCAGAGCAGCTGGATATACAAAACTAAAAGAATGGATGATGCAGATTTGGTGGTCAATTGGAAATTGATGGTTATTAAAACCATATACAGAAAATTGGATGGATTGGGAAGAACTGAGGTGAAAACAGAGGTTAATTACATCTAACTATACCAACTTCTATTTTTAGTCAGTGCTCATATCTGTCAATGTCTCCTGTCTCTCCTCATTTATGGACAACTTTGGCACGTGGCTCATTTTCCTCCAAGCAGACCATAATTGCAGATGGCTCATCCAGTGCTCTAGGCTCTCAGTTCCTTGATCAGCTTTAAAGTCTTTCAACAACTCTTAACCTCAGGAATCCATAAATAAAAACTTCAAACTCTCTCACACTGATGTTTCCACTTTTGTCTTTGGCCTCATCAAGAACCCTATTCTCTCTTACTACTACTCTATTACTCTCCAGGCTACTCTTACTGCATTCTCATTATTGGTATTTCTAATTTTTTATTGCTCCATGTACCATAAGAACTACCATTTTAATCATTATCTTTCCAATAATCTAAAATCATTTGCCTTGTTATACATTTTCCATGTGCCTCACTATCCACAGCTGAATCTAATCAGTTTTTGTTTTTTATTTGGTAAATAATTATGTGATCCTTATAGAAGTTATTGTATCTAAGAATTTCATAATTTTTAGCCATTTTAAACCTTGTAACAAAGCCATATGATGGGCACAACCGGTACGTTGCCTGCAAGAGGAACTCAAACTGTCATACAAGTTTGTGATCCCCAATCTGCATTGTAATATTCGTCTGTTTTATTGACTCTTTTTTCTCTTTTTGGAATGCTCTCTATGGAGAAATTAACTATTGTGCTGTGAGAAAGGCCAAACTATACCATGAAGAGAGACCACAGAAGAAAACTGAAGCTACAAGCCCTCAGTCAGCATCAGCCACCAGACATGTAGTGAAATGCACAAGCCTACAGATGAGTTCATCTTCAGACTTTAAGTCGTCTAGTCGAGTCCTCAGACATCACTGAGTAAAGACAAGCCATCCTTTGCTGGAAGTCGAGCTACCCAGCCTGTGGGGCAAAGCCTGGGCTGTGGATGGATTGGGTGACTGCAAGGCGGCCCACCGACAGTGAAGCTTCTTGTCCTCCCGCTTTTAGGTAGTTTGGTCTTAAAACTACCTGGGGTATTGTCTGTTGGGGAATTGCCCTCAGCAGGCCCCCTGGGAAAAGAACCATTAGGGAAGAAAATAAGGTTCCGCAAGAAATTGTGCGGACTTACGTTTGGCCCTTGCCATCCCCATGGAGACTCCTCTACTTACAGGAAGGATAGCCTCATGCATTTGCCAGCAAAAGCGGCCAACGAAGGAGAGACATATGGATCCGAAAGCCCCACTCCGGTAACTAAGGAGTGTATCTATGGACACAGGTCACTCTGACCCCTAGGCCCACCTGGCCCCCAGGAGGCATTCCAGATGATGATTGAACCTAGTCGGTTAAAGCTACAGAATGGTTCATTGGTTCCTAGGTGCATTGTCTCTCTGAGAATGTATAAGGCGTGGGTTTCTAAGGCCCTCTTGGCCCCCTTCTTGGCACCTCGGACCCAGGCAAACCCTTTTGTTCTTTAAAACCACGAATGGTTCAGGGAAACAACTAAGAGGTCATACCCCTGTAACTGTTCCACTTGAGATGTTGAGAGATAAATGGCCTTTCGTGAAAACAGCAAAGCAAGAACTTTATAAATTATAAACATAGATATATAATAAAAACAATAAAAGAAATTAATCAATAAGCAAAGGGCAGGAGGGGACGTTATGACAAAACAATCATGTTATTCCTTACTGAGGGATTATACAAAGGAACAATTTTAGAATTGGGTAATGTTAGAAAAACATAGATGACGTATGTTACAAGGAAATCACTAGCAAATATAATGCCATGTTTACTGCAATAAATCGGCCAGTTCAACACACTGCTGTTGTTTGTGTCCATTTTTATTTTAGTTTTTTATTTTAGTTTCTTATTTTAGCTTTTTATTTTAGTTTTTTATTTTTATTTTTGTTTTGTTTTATTTTCACTTTTTTGCTGACGCCATTCATCCTTCGGGAACCCCTGGACCTGCTGAAGCTGGACTCCGGCAACCCTTCCAATGTCTGGTCTAAACTTCTGACCCACAGAATTGGTAGAGGAACTTGTTATGTAGCTATAGTCACTGGAATATTACCTATAGCAAAGTTTATTGCTAAATCCAGCAAATATCTTTCAAGTCTTAATTTTACTTGATTTTTTGAAATGTTTAACATAGTCAACCAAACCCTACATATTTAAATACTCTCTTTATTTTGTATGTATATCACTGCATACTATACACGGTGCTTGGATCTTTCTCATCATTCCTGGTCTGTTACCACGGAAAGCCCATCTACCCATTCCTTTCCTTAGGGCTCTGTCCACGGCCCTCTCTGGGCCAGTGGTCTCAGTCAGGAGTATGAAGTTGAGAACAAATACTCAAATTTAATGGAAGATCTAATAGCAAGTGTGAATAAAAAATATGATGCTATTGACAGTTGTAAATATTAAGGCTAAAGTGTCATGTATCTCCATTGTGACACATATTTCTCCTCTTCAATACATGTGACATGTGACAGGTTTGTAAGAAACTATCAATCCCCTAAGTATATTATTATTTCATTCTGTACAATGGCTGTAGTCTCAAATAAGGAGTTCAATAATTATTATTGTATTCTAAAATGGTAAGAGCCAAAGAATTAACTTGACAATTTTAAAGAGTAGGGTAAATTAAATATTGAATAACAAAACAAAGACATTCTTTACATTTCATTGTTACAATGAAATTGTAAGTTAAATCACTGGTAAAGATTATATATTAAGATGAAAAATAAAACAAAATTTCTTATCAGAGTCTTAAATTAATCAAAGTTTTTCATTGTCAATAAATATTTTTAATACATTAAACAATGTCTCTGAACAAAGAACAAGTCCTAACGTGTCTTACATATGTAAATAATTAAACAGTATCTGGTCTGGTAGTAAGTTGTTTCATCCTCATAAGGCAATTTCTCAGAATGTCAGAGAAAGGGGAAAAAAAATTTAGGCGGGAAGGAAGGGGAATCTGATCTTGAGTTTCTTGTGAACCTTATCTCTGACATTTATTTCTGGCTTTGTTGATTAAATTGAACCTACATCAAAAGATAATGAACCATTTTTGCAGGACTCCTGCTGTGTTTGAGATCCTCTAGGAAAGATCTGGAAATGTTCTTTTCTGAGCATTGCTGTGAAGACCCTTTAGAACACTTATTGATGTCAGATACTGAACATTCTTAACTGATTCATGGCATTTGAAACATATCCTTTTCTCATACCAAAATGTTTTTTTTATTCTCCTTACCTTGCTGTACAAAGGATCCGTAGACAAACCACATGGAGTTGTAGAGAGTAGTAGATGTCATTGATCCCATTTGTAATCGTGGGGGATTAAGCCAATTTAGGAGGTAGACCAGAAGACCCACCAGAAGAACAGTGCCAGCAATGCAAGCCCATAGAGAGAGATCAAATGGTGCGAGACAGGCAAACATATCCACTGTCTTTTCAGCCCTTCGAAGTAGTACTCCCACTGAGTAGTCCATGTAGCGTGTTGTAAAGTCCACCACATTCTCACGATCTGGGGTGATGGTTAAAGCAGAAATCCCTATGTCAGCTCTCTGAAAAATTGAAAAGAGAAAATAATAAATTAACAATGTGGAAAACAATTTGATTTGTGGTGCTTCAACTTGCCTGAAGGAAACGAAAATAGATGCCTCAGGCAACATCTTTAGTCTTTTTATATAAACGGAAAAACACTGCAGATATTTCTTAGAGGAGAACTCTGTATGAATTTTGCATTTCTTACTGCAAATCTTGCCCCACCAGAGTCAGATAAATGACCTTGTTCATATTATCAGTGCATGTGAAATCAATGAAGAATATTTCAAACAGATAACACCTGAAGGAAATTGTCTTTTTTTCTTGAGTCCTTTTTATCAAAGCCGTCATTAACACAGTAACAAAGGCAAAACATATTCTAAGGAATGCTTTCTGAGAAAATGTTCCCAAGATATTTTTATTATGTTCTTAAGATGTAAATTATTAGATAGCTTATTTAAAAAAAAACCCTCAACATAGCATTTACTCTTGGTTTAGATTTCTCTGCATCAAAATTTATATTATTGATTTCTAAATGCATTACAGTCAGAACTTTCATATAGCACTGTTATAGTGTCATTTGCCAAAAGTCTCTACTATGATTTTATTGCACAAATCTCAGAAATGTCTTAACAAAAAATGAAAAATTAAGGAGACATAATTCTTCTCAGAGTAACAACTCTTCTTTTCAATGTGTATCTCCCTAGATTCTCAGTGATAGCATTAAAAATGGCAGTACATGCTATTTTACTTATTTGAAGCACAGAGTAGAATTGTAGGGAGAGCACAGAACAAATGACATATTTAAATTCTATAATATGAGAACACATATTTAAATAACCAGAAGATGTATTTTGTTTGAAATAATGATCCATGGCTGTGATTAAAGCTGTGGGAAGCTCCTTCCAGACAAATAAAAATAATAGTAAATTGTGTGTTGAACATTTTTGCTATTATTTTTCTTCCTTACTTATTGTTTTATGAAGGAAGACAGCAACAGGTTTTATTGCTTTTGGACACCAAACAAAACAGAACAAAAGAAAACAAACAAAACAAAAAAGAAACAAAAAAACATGTGAAGTAACATACCAAACGAAATGCTAAACTGGCTCAAATAAATCTAGTGTCTGAAGTAATAATGGCTTCAAAAATATTCTACATGTATTTAAGAATCATGTGCGTTTGTGTGTGTACATATATATGCACATATATGCATATGTTTATACATACATATCAGTCCATATATATTTGTTGCTAAGTCCAGTACTAAATATTTAAATACATTTTCTTATTTAATCCTTACAATATGAATGTAATTCATGAATTGTGTGTTTTCCCCTTGATTTCATAGAGAAACTACAAGAATTGTGTACCTTGTTTAGTTCTCATTGTTTATAAGTATAGAAGTCAATACTAAAGCTAGGTTTTTCTTACTACAAATCAGAGCTCATAACCACTTACCTCATTGCAAAAATCCTTCATTTTCCAAATGATGCATATGGTAGGTGGTTAAGATAACTGGTTTTAGGACAAGTTTTATCTTAACAGAGTCTCAAATTTTGTGGGTTTTTTATTGTAGTATTTATATTGCAACAAGGCCATATTAGTATACACACCATGAGCTTATAATTATTAACAGAGAGGTATTATACTTAATAACATATGTGAAAATAAACTTTCAGAGAAATAATTATTATTGCTTTCAGGCTCATGTTTTATTTATTTATTTATTTATTTATTTATTTATTTATTTATTTATTTATTTTTAAGTAGGTGTCATACTCAACATAGAGGCCAAGGTGGAGCCTGAACTCATACCCTGAGATCAAGACGAGCCGAGATCAAGAGTCGGATGCTTAAATGACTGAGCCACCCAAGTGCCCCTCATATATTTATTTTCTATAGCTAAATATTAGGAATTTGGTCTTTTAAGATTGAAAAGCTAACCTGGATCCTTATTTCTCCAGTTCTATCTTTTGTAAACTTCAGTTTATCTATTTGTGAAATGAATGTAACTATATTAGTGTGACTACTGTGAGTGGACTCATATTATCTTAATCATAATGGTAATAAATATCTCTCTGAGATTCAATTAGGCTTTCAGAAGTTGCCTTTAGTTTTTCAGGACATTACAGTACTATGGATCAGTAATCCAGTAATTGATGGACTACTGAGCTAATGCATTTTATGACTCAATCACAATCAGAATATTTCACCTATGGAAGAACTTACTGACAACAAGTTGACTGACTATGTGTAAACTTTCATCAATATTTTTCTAATAATTCAATGTTAACATTTAAATGATCATGAATTGGAATAGTCACATACTAATTCTACTAATAGGTAAGTATCACGAAGTGAATTTGTATAATGGAGAAAAGATATTTAGGGAATAATGTGTGTTTTCTTTTTGGAAAAGGAAACTGATTATATTGTATATGCTAACGGATTTATTAAATATAATAATTACTTGTCATATTTTTACGGAGAACTAACTTCCTAGGTTCTGGTCCAATTTTAACACTTGGCTACTCTGTTTTCAAGGAGAAATTCCCAGTATTCCTGTGGAGGGCATATCAGAATCATGTGATAAGCTTTTCAAACTGCACAAATACATTTATATACAGACACAATATAAACACATATACACACATTTTCTCATCCCTGAGATATGTATACACCTTTCTAAGAAAGTACTTCATCCTATTCTACAGAATCACAATATTGAGCAGATAATTGTGCTTCATATGAGTATGTGATAGTCCTTACTTGTATTAGAATTTTATTGGAGCAGGAAAAAAAAAAAGCCAAGAACCACTGATTCAAAAAAGTTAACTTCTTGAATATCTCCAAACTACCAAAAATGATCAGAAACAAATGATCATTCCTATCCTCCCTCCCTGCCTCCTTCACTGTCTTCCTTCCTTTTCTTTTCCTCTTCTTTTTTTTCACCTTCTCTCCCTCCCTTCCTTCCTTATCACTTATTTATCTAATTATTTACCTGTCTATGTATGCATATATGTCAATTCACTTTTCCAGTTTCTACATTTCAAATCTTTACTGTCATGAAATCTTTAATTTTCTCAGTAACCACCCCTCCCAACTCTTGAAAGATGACCTTAACTGCTATCTTATAAGGAACATAAAAGATATCAGATTAAAATTCAGGCTTATTTCTACCTTCTACCACTCAACATATATCCTGCACCCAGCCTATTCTATTTAACCTCTATTTACAATGAAAGAACTGTCTTCCTTCCAAAAACCAACCCACCATTAGTAAACTTATCAACCAATTCCCTCTTTCAGATATTTAAACTCCTATCTTTTATGTATTAAACATCATCCTATCAACTAAATTTCCTATGAAAAGATTCTGTAACTCCTTTGCATTAAAATAAAAACAACAAAAAAAGAGAAAAGTCTGTCCTCTCCTACAACTTCTGAATCGCAGTTATTACCTTTACTTCCTCTCTCTTTTTTCACAATTTTCTTTAAAGATTTGTCTCTATTTCCCAATCTCCTAGTAAGTCTGGGAAGATTCTTTTGTACCCATATTGCTAAGCACTCTATTATTCAAGGGACACAGCACTTCTTAAGTTTTGCATTGCTGACTCAAATGGATACAATTTAGTGCTCATCTGTTTAGGTTTCTTGACAACATTTGGCAATGATGACTTCTTTCTCCATCATAAGCACTCTTTTCCTTGGATTTCATGACATGACATAAGCTTCTTTTTCATTTCCTTTTTCAAGCTTAGGTTGGCAATCCTCTGGACTTGGGCTTTATAGACTTTTCCCATTTGATCTTTCGCCTAGGCAATCCCATTTATATACATTACTTCCATTGTCCCCATTCATACATCAGATTTACAAATTTATATTTCTAGATATAGATCTGAGGTCTGGAGTCCAGAGTGATTTATGTAACTTCATAATTGATACTTCTATTAGAAGTCTCAAAAATACCTCAGATTTAACATGGCCAAGACCATACTCAGGCTGTTCAACTCTAACTAGTCTTCTCTCAGTGTCTCCTTCCTCAATGAATATCTTTTCACACAAGTCTTAAATCTTGGTGGTTTCATTATCTTTTCCAATCTTACACCTCCTGTCTTATCTGTAACTATTGATTCTACCTCCTGGCAATCCTAATATACATTCGCTTCTCTACTATTGTCAGTTCTCACCATTGCTTTTATGGGCTTATTAAGAGTCTATCTGAAATCTACCTTTTCTTTTTTCTTAATTTCCCTATTGCAGTAAAAGTAATCTTTCTGTTGAGCAAATCTATCTGTCCCTTACACAGCTTAAAGGTTTTCAATGCATTTGCATTGCTCTGAGGAAAAGGATTCAAATCTTTAACATAACCTATGCATCTTTAGATGGATTATTCTCAACCTACCTCAACATATATATATATACTGGACTATTTTTCTTTCCAGCACTACTTCCTGATGCATGGTCTTTGTACATGTTATTTCCATTGAATGGATTGTCCTTCCTGAAAATTCTTCAAGTAAACTCATATTCATATTCATAAATCAGCTCAATTATCACTTCCTCGGGGAAGCTATCCATGACCCCCATGATTAGAATAATAATTCTTGTTATTTATACTACCAGAAGTCTATATCCCTCACTTCTCTAGCAGTTCTGACAGTTGTAATTTTACAAATATTTGTGTGATCCTTTGAATAATGTCTGACTTTTCTACTAGACTGTAAGCTCCATGACTAGTTTTTATTTTTGTTTTAAATTGACATATTCCTGGTATCTACCACCTTTGTTTGGCATAGATTCATGATCAATAAAAACTTGCTTCACATGTAAAGAAAGATGGAACATTCACTGGATGCTTGTTATTCAATTCTTATAAATCTCTTCTATTCTTCAGCATTCCCAACAGAAAGAGATTTTTACAGAATAAAAACAAAATAGTAATATAAAATTTATGAAGTTTTATAGCAGTAATAAAAAATTTGTATCTTAATGAATAATTGCCTCAATAATTAAA